ACTGACTCTTTCTATTAGTAGAAAGGATGCATTTTTAGATCTCATGTTGTCTTTTAATAAACTTGTATGATTTCTCCCTAAATGTGTTACATATTTTTGTTAGCTACATCAAGAACTATTTTTGTATGCATTTTAAAATTACAGTTTTGAATTCTTCAGTATTTGTGTAAAAATATAATGGAATTTTTGTATGTGTAATCTAACTTGGTCATTTATTCATAGGTATGGATGTGTGCATGTGTGTGTGTGTGTGTGTGTGTGTGTGTGTGTGTACACATCATGTGCAGATAATGAAGGTCTGGCTTACTCTTTTCCAATGGTCAAGCCTCTCATTTCCTTTACTTGTCTAGCCTATAATAGGACCTGAAGTTTAATCCTGAAAATCCCATGATATAGACATATTTTCTGTAACATGCATTAAAATTACTTTTTTAGTCTTAGATAATTCAACATTTATATGTGTTTATAAGAAACAGACCCCATAAGCCCTTCACCTACTTTCCAAGGGTGTCTCTCTAATTTTTGCACAGTATCACAAGCCAAGAAATTAGTAGTAATGAAATCCAATGACTTTATTCAGATTACAGCAATTTACATACATGCTTACCCCCCCGACCCCGTGCACGTGTGTGTTTAGTTCTATCCAGTGTCTAGAATATGTGACCATCACCATTATAGTGACAGATCTGGATGTTAGGAAACCCTTAAATACTAGGAAGCATCCTCCACCTGTGCTTCTGTGGACTGGTTGTTAGCACCCTCAGTCCACCTGTCTCTGATGGTGTACCGTAAGAGGAGGAGGAAGTCTACCCTCTCACTCTCTAAACTCTCTTCCATTCTGAAGTGAGGGTCCTGTGGGCTCTCCTTAGCCTCTTGAGGAGAATTGGCCTCCTTAAAAAGGGACAAGATGAGTTTTGTTTTGCAGATTGTATTTTTAATTTTCAGGATAATTACTAAAAAGATTCATTTGGGGGGAGGAAATAATTTAACATGACAACAATGAAAAGCCTCAGAAACCTTGAGTGAAAAAATACATTTGCCAACCAAATCCAGTATATTCAGAAGTGAACGAGAGTATGAAAAGTGTCTATCAGAAACAAGTGTGGACAGAGGTCATGAAACTAGAGAGGGGCCCATGAGGGGAAAAGAGACTTTTAGGAAGGGAGTGATGAAAGTGACAGAGTACATGTGTGATGGTTTGAATGAAAATGTCCCCCATAGGCTCCAAGTATTTGGACATTTTGTCTCCAGATGGTGGTGCTGTTTTAGAAGGTTTTAGAAGGTGTGGCTATCCTGGAGGAAGCACGTCATTGGGTGTGGGCTTAGAGAGTTCTTAAGCCTTGCCAGAGCTCCAGTCACTCTCTTGCTTCCTGTGCCTGTGTGATGATGTGAGAGCTTTACTTCTGCTGCTCCTGCTTCAGCCACCTCCAGCCACCATGTCTCCCTGCCATGATGGACTGTACTTCTTCTGGAACCATAAGCTCAGATAAACTCTCCCTTCCATTTACACTATTGCTTTGGTCAGTGTTTCTGTCACAGAAACCGAAAAGTGACTAATACAGCAATTGGTACCAGAAGTGGGGTGTTGGCTGTGAAGAACCTGACCATATGGGGCTTGACCATATGGAAGAAATGTGCAAGACTTTGGAAGTTTGGGCTAGAAAGTGGTTGATTGCTGTAAGCAGAGCTTAAGAGGCCATTCTAGTAGGCACCTGGAAGAAAGCAGTGCTGAGAACAATGCAGTTTCACAGGGAAATAAGGACTTAAGCAGCACTTGGGATATTTTGGCAAAGAGCCTGGCCTAGACCAAAAAGCTTGCCTGAGGCTAAGTTGAAAAGTGATGGACTAATTTCTTTGGTGGAAGAAATTTCAAGAAAGTCTAATGTAGAAGCAGTGGCATGGCTATTAATGGTCAATATTGTGCAGATCTACAGTGAAGAGAGCAAATAGGGCAGAAAGAAATACAGTTTAGACTGAAAAAGAGCACTAGGAAGATAAATGTTGGAGCCCTGGCATGTGATGGAGAAGATCCCATTGATAAGGAGATTAAAGTGGTTAAGGAGGGGCCTAGAGATTCAAACTTAAACAATGGAGAGAGGGCCTCCAGGGCAAGATCACACCCAGTTAAGCCTCCAGTTTATGAAAGGAAAATGCTGCAGGGGCCACTGAAGAGAAAAGTTTTTAAAACGGATAAAGCAGGCTGGTGTCTATCCCAAACTTGAAGTCAAACTTGGCAGTGCCATTCACCTGGTGCTGGCTTTAGAGGCATGAAAGATGGAAGAGTGAGGGGATCATCAGTTCTTCCTCTGCAGTTTCAGAGAGCCTCAGAGGCCAGGCAGCATGAAGCAGGGGTTCTCCTGCATAGAGAAGGCCCTGATAGGCCATTGTGTGAAGCTGTGAAGGTGAAGCCTGGTTGGCAATGGAGACCCCAAGAAGACGTTCATGATGCCAGAGCTGTGAGGTATCTACTAAGACCTTCATACAGGGAATGGTACCAGCCCAAGAGAGAGATGTTTTTCACGTAGCAAAGGTAGAGAGGCTGAGCCATTGAAACCCTTTGGAAGTAAAGTCCCAGAAACTGGATGTGGAGCTACTGGATTTGGTGTTTGCCTTTCTGATTTTTTGTCTTGTTTTGGTCCAGTATTTCTTTACTATTCCTCCATTCCTCCCTTTTTGGAATGGTAATGTGTATTCGGTTCCACTGTATGTTGGGAGCATGTACTTTTTCTTTTATTTTATAAAGGTTTACAGTTAAGATATTTACCTGAGTCTCAAAAGAGACTTTGGACTGTGGACTTCTAAATAGTATTGAGGGAGACCCTGTCTCAAAAAAGACCAAAAAAATTAATTAAAAAATAGTATTGAGACTGATAATGACTATGGGGACTTTTAAAGTTGGACTAAATGCATTTTGCATTTTATATGGTCATGAGCCTATTGGGAACCAAGGGGTGGGATGTGATGGTTTGAAAGAAAATGTCCCCCATAGGCTCCAAGTGTTTAGACATTTTGTCACCAGATGATGGTGCTGTTTTGGGAGGTTTTAGAAGGTGTGGCTATCCTGGAGGAAGCACATCACTGGGGGTAGGCTTAGAGAATTCTTAAGTCTTGCTGGATCTCCAGTTGCTTCTTGCTTCCTGTGCCTGCGTGATGATGTGAGAGCTTCACTTCTGCTGCTCCTGCTCCAGCCACCCCCAGCCACCATGCCTCCCTACCATGATGGACTGTACTTCTTCTGGAACCATAAGCTCAAATAAACTCTTCCTTCCATTTACAGTATTACTTTGGTCAGTGTTTCTATCACAGCAAGAGAAAAGTGACTAATACAACATGTGATGTGAAAGTGGAAAGGGGGGTACTAGGGGCCACAGGACACAGCCGGGATCAGGGACAGATAGGGAGAGGGGAGAGGAGCAGATGCCGGAGGAAAACTAGAGCCAAGCAAGTCTAAAACTGTACAAGGAAGCCTGTTGATTTGCATGCTTCTCCAAGTATAGCACTGCAGCCCAGAGGCTTTGTTGAACATAGACTATTGGGTCTGGCCCCCAGAGCTTCTAATCAGCAGGCCCAGGTACAAAACAGTCATTTCTAAGCTCACAGGCAATGGGGGTCCTGTTCGTCTAAGGAACATACTTTGAGAAGTCCTGCTACAGAGCAGTATATTTTAACATGGTGATGAAATGCTTTTTAAAAATCAATCAGTCCCTCCCTCCCTCCCTCCCTCCCTCCCTTCCTCCCTCCCTCCGTGTGTGTGTGTGTGTGTGTGTGTGTGTGCCTGCATGTCTATGTTTTTTAACCTCCAATATAAGGCAAGTAGAATGGTCATTGGGCGGCACTGTTACCTGCAGTACAAAATAAACGAACAAACTACTGCTTTAAAGAAATGAACTTATGTCTATAAACAACTAACTTAAAATACTTAAACTACTTTGAGTTTTTGTGTGAGTATGGATGTATACAGGTTTCTTTATGTGCCCTCATGTATGTGCATGTGGAGGCCAGAGGTGATATCACGTGTCTTCCTCAATTCTATATTTTTTTAAGTTTTTAATTGAATTTTTATGAATTTTA